GGGTGTTTGAACAACAGCCATCCGGAAACCTTCTCTGGGCCAGAAGAATTAAGGTCACAGTTGGACATGGAGGGGACACAGAGGAGAAAATGGTCACTGTTGAAAAAAAAAATTTAAATAGGAAAAAGAGGCGAGCGTGCCGTTACCTCGATTTTACGTCCTTCCACCAGCGTGCCGTGGAGCTTCTCTCTGGCCCTCTCTGCATCTGCGCTCGACTCAAACGTAACAAAACCGAAGCCCTGCAAGCAAAGGAGGGTAAAGAAACGACAAGGAGACGCAGGAGGAGGAGGAGAAGGAGATTGCAGTTAAGCTTCTTTTTTTTCTTTTTTTTTTGCTGCATTTTGAAATGCCTGACATGTTTTCTTTTTCCTCAGTGTCCTACCTTCGATCCCCTCTCGTTAAAAATGATCTCCACATCAAGGATTTTGCCAAATTGCTGAAACAAGAAGCAGGAAAATAATGAATTAATTAATTAAAAAAAGAGAAGGAAAATGAAGAAGCTGAGCGAGCATGTAAGTCACACACACTGCTTCTCGCCACGGGGTGTCAGCACTGTTCAACCACGATGAGCTGGCACTGAGCCTACACTGGCTGCTAGGTCTTCTACCATATCTTCCTTTCCTCTGTTCTTTTCTCTGCACTGCATTTTAGAGCCGTTCCTCTTGCAAAACTGGAGGGAACCAGGCCAGATTATTACACTTCACTTTAGATAAGCTGCTGGAGAGCTGAAAATCTAAATAATCAAATAAGACAATGGATTCTGCTCAGCAAAAAAACAGCATGGCAAACCCTTGTTTTTATATAAGCGTCACTAGAAGATAGCAAAGGGCTGCAGTCACTAGATGAGGGGGGTTTAGTTTAGAGGGGATTTTACTCTGTTATGTAACGATACACAGTGGAGGGGAAAAAAGGCAACGTTCTGGTCCGCTTACCCCAAACATCTGCCGTAGGTCAGGGTCTCGGAAGCGGAAGGGGATGTTAGATACGTGAAGGCGTTTGGGGGTGGCCTTGGAGTCCGAATCGTCTCCGGCGTTCCCCCCGCCGCCTCCACCTCCCGAGCCAACCCCAGACTGGCCCTCAATCTGGGAGGACCCATCTGACTGCTTAGACACAAGGATGCAAAAAGACAAACAGAGACAGACAGACGAAAACAAAGAGGTCTTGTTAGGGTTGCGAAAAGACGATACGCAATGCACCATTAGCTGACAGACTGTCATCTGTCAGATTTGCACTGCAGTAGGCGCTGCTCGCTGCTTCCATTAATCAGCTGATTATTGTGCTGATTAGTTCATTAATCAGCTTGCACAAATTATGGATTGAACAGGAAAAATGTCCAAGTACTCGCTTTGCCTAGAAACAGGGAAAAAGCACAAAATATCGATTATGTTTCATAATCGATATTTTGTGCTTTTACCCTGTGAGAAGAACACAAAGACAGTATTTTTCCCATTTTTTGGCGTGTTGCTTGAACAGAGTCCAAAATTATTAAAGGGAAAATTAAAACCGCTGCAAAAATCTGTGAATTGACTCAAACAACCGACAGAACATAATAAATAAATGATTTAACCTCAACATATTTGTATTGCCTCTGGTTATAAGCAGCAGTGTACAACGAATGAAAACCATGACTGTTTTTATTCACTGTAAATTTTATTTCATGTGACGCTGTAGTATTTGATTTAAAAAATACTTATGGCACAGTCCAAAGGTCTTGAGCCACCTTTCATTTCTTTATATTTTGCTTGAAAAATTTGAAAAGGTTTGCAGTGATTTATTGAAACACGTGCAAACATACATGCACAATATAGTATATAAAGCAAAAAGAGAATTTGTACAATTGCAGCGTGTTTTACAGATGGCTGTAGACACTCACTGCTGCACCTCCATCCTGACCTCCTCTCTACAAACTGACAACAATTTGTACCAAAAAATGTCAAATTTGGATTCATCGCTGCATAAAATTTGTGGCAACAAGTATTTGTGTTGTCTGTGAGATCTTTACTGGATTTCTTCTTATTTCTTAAGGACATGACTTTCTGTTTTTCTGGTGTAGGTAGTTTTCTTTATCCCTGCCACTTCTTTTCTCCTCCATTTGGCCAGTTTCCTCAGCATTTTAAGGACACGCTGCACACCCTGCTGAGATATGCCAAGTTTTCTGCTAATAGCTCTTTGATAATCACCTTGTTGGTGCAAAAATAAAATTTCAATTTCAAATTGTGTTATCGCTGGCATTTTTCACAGATTCAACTAAAGAAATGGGGAAAAAATTACGGGTCTTTGTGACACACTGCTAGTAACGGTGCCAGAAGTGCCAAAGATATCATCTAAAATTGGCTCTTTGCTCAGTTGTCTGCTGTGTGGAGACACAACACCGCTTCATATCTTGACTAAGGATTTTTTTTTTTGCTTGAATTATTCATAAGTCAGTGTTAAGTTGCTTAACAAACAACGACAAGGGGGGAAAAAGCAAACATTACTCTAAAAATGAGAAACTTTAGGGACTGGAGTGAGTAGAAAAGCAGCCAATGTCCAAAGAAAAACTTCAAAAGACCTTCAGAAAATCTATATATAAAGAAATGAGGTGTGGGTCAAGACTTTTGCACAGTACTGTCATTCTCTGGATTTGCAAAATTAGACACACAGTCCAATCTAAACATGTAGTTTCTCTCAGCTGTCCAATTTCAATATTTATAAGGATTTATTGTTGATGATGTTTAAATACCACCATCTGAAAAAAATGAAACCTGAATTTTTCACCTTTTTTCCACCTGAAGAAAAAACAGTGGATAAAAATTAACTGTGGTGACAAAACATTGCATATAACATTATATAAGTGGCGGCCATCAGCAGTAACACCCATGTCAAATTCCTGCTTTAAGCAAATTGTGTTTTCACACTTCTGTCATTTTTAAAAAAGTTGGGTAGGCAATGTTACCAACAGTCGTTCTTTGTGTGAGCGTTTAGCTGTGTGGGCTTTTGCATGTCAAAGTGCTCAAAGACAAACAAAGCAAAAAGAAGAGTGAAGATTGGGCTGTAATTTGCAAGTCGACCAGAGAAGAAAAAAAAAACAAAAACCCTCCAAATAAATGTAGCTATTCCACCCTAACTGCTGGATGAGTTTTAAAAAAAGAAGCTGTTTTCCTATCATAATGATAGAAAGCACTTAGAGAGTGAATACCAAACCATGGCAAATGACCTGTTTTGCAATTTCAAAGAAACTGATCCAGAACTCTCCCACTCTTGCCTCCAAAACATTTAATGGGTTCTTTCTTTGCCCGCGCTCCACCTTTCCACAGTTTCATAAAATACGGTTTGGTAGTTTTTACATAAACTTGATGACAGACAGAAAAAGGCAGCCTTCACACACTCTCTCAGTGTATGTTTCTGCGACAGCGAAGTGGCCACAGAATCGGTTATGACAGGTGGAATTATTTTTGTGTTTGGAGGAACGATCGTAACACAGAGAGGTTTATACGTTTTAATCCGAGCGAGATAAAAACAAAACAACATGTGAAAATGTTACAGCTCAGTTGAAAAGAAAAACTTGAATTGTGGTCACAATTAGTAATGTGCTCTTATAATATCCTCATTTCAGTCTGTAACGTGTATCCCACTCACTAAACGCCCTCTCAAGGCACAGCCTGGGTGTGGGCTGCCCACAGAGGAAGGAGGCCGGTACTCACTTGGGCACTGAGGCTGTTAGCGGCGTTGGCTGCGCTATTCGCTGCTCCGCCGGCTTCCACGGGACCCTGGACGGCCCCTGCAGCATACAGGCTGCCCCCGTAATCCAGGGCCAGGCCGTTCTGGGGGGGCGGTGGTGGAGGAGGCGGGAAGGCAGAGAAAGGTGGGGGGACGAGTCCCTCCTGACCGCCAGCACTATCCTGAGAACCCTGTTGGAAGAAAAAGAGAGAAAAGTGAGGTGGGAGTGAGAACTAAAGTGGTCGGCTGGCGAAATACCACGGTATCTTTTACTAAGAGCATCACCCGACCACACAGAGACCACTTCCCCAAGAGCGTCAGTCTAAAAGTCATACAGGCATGGATATTATATTTCCATTTTCCTGTGTGTGTGTGTGTGTGTGTGTGTGTGTGCATGTATCTAACCCCCCACCCCCACCCCACCCCCCAACCATTAAATATTCACTGCTGCCACATCTATTATTGAGGGTCAGATGCCTCCATGCTCAGTGTGTTGCACAATGATGAGTGTCTAATGCCTGCACGCACACTTACAAACGCCTCTGCACACAAACCACCTTTGACACGCAAACACCCACACACCTAAACGCTCACACAAAGACCAACTGTTTGCAAGGAAGCCGGCCCAAGTACTTCGTACATATTATCCCCCCCACCCCCAAGAAGATGCATGTGTAAGATGCCAAAATTCGAGCTTGTAGGAGAACAACACAGGCGTCCATAAACACATGGTAGAGACACATAAACATGGCAGAGGCATTAACACAACACACACGCGCGTGCACACACATTCCTTACTGCTGGCAGTGGGGTATGGATACCCTAAATGGTAACAGAGAGGCAGCAAGGATGGGAGAGGACGGGGCCGGGCTGGGGGATTTGAAGATAAAAGGTGATGACAGATTCAAGAGACGAGGCCCGATCCATAGCTGCAAAGGATTACTCAAACTTCACCAGATTTCTAATTCCAATAACTGCAGTGTTTGGTCATTTTATTAAAGACTATAAAAACACTACGATGGTTTTCTGGTTCAGAGAGGGATGCTTTAAATGCTAATGTCAGCACGCTTTAAGAAAATAAATAAATAAATCAGGACATTGTCTGAGTTTGTCCTTTTTCACGCAAAGTACCGCAAAGCATGAAACGGTCTACTTACGACGTGGTCACACTACCAGAAACAGATTGCCTGGATGAGACATGCAGAAGGCAGTAAGCGACACCCCCTCACTTACTGTAGCTGTGAACGCAATGGACGTTTAGCGGAGCGATTTGTCAACCGGTACAATCTGACCTCTCACATGCTGGTAGATGAGCTGACATCCAAAGTGATTGCACTGGAGATTTGCTCACTGCCATAACACCTTTGTCAGGTGATGTGAGAAATGCTAAGGGCTGCAGAGAAAGTGTAAAAACAGTTAAAAGCAACAAACTTAACATACCGACATTTAGCAGGTATAAAGTATTCACTATATGCATCTTCCTGCTAAAAGGGAGTTTTTCCTTCCCACTGTCGCCAAGTGCTTGCTCATAGTTTGTTGCCTAATGATTTTTCTGTATTATTGTAGGCTCTCCTCCAATATAAAGTGCATTGAGGCAACTGTTGCTGTGATTTGGCGCTATACAAATCAAACCGAATGAAATCAAATTTTTAGTGGTAAGATTCATCTACTGGGGACCAAGAATGTACAAAACTATTGTGGTAATGCATTCAAGTGGTTGCAGAGATCACACTGATTGCCAAAATCCAGTTGACCATCATCATTAATCTGGCGTGAGCCACGTTAGCATGTTAGCCCTGATTTAAAAAAACAAAAAACTCTACCAACTCTCAATATTTTTTTCACCACACCTGATACATATGACATTAAAATGTACCAGAAAATGAGAACTAAACAACCTGATACCGGCACCAGAAAACAAAATCATAAAAACGAAATTATACATTTGTAAATCACAATAGATACAAATGATGACGATATCTAGAAACCCGGAGTAGCACCCATTGTGTAGCCTTTTTTGTTCAGCCTATTCTCCTTTGCTGTGTCTTTCTAACCTCTTTGTTCTTCTCATTTGACTGTAACAACTAATTACTACAATCATCATCATCATTGCTTTATTAGGAATAGTACTAATGTAAGACAGACTCGCAAAGACAGTAATACAATAATTAATTAGTAAAAGAAGTTACAATGTCGCCCCCCCGTCAGCATTATATCACTTCTAAATAGACTCAGTTGAGCCTACCTGACATCTGCTTGGCTATACTCACTTCAAGTGTGTGTGTGTGTGTGTGTGTGTGTGTGTGTGTGTGTGTGTGTGTGTGTGAGTGACAGGCTGCAGCGATGCCCATCTGAGCTGCACAATAGATCACTGTCCCTTTGGGAGTGTTATAAGTGTGTGGGAGGGTGAGTATGTACGTATGTGTGCGTGTGTGTTTGTGTGTGCGTTTGCGAGCATGCCATCTGTCTCCCAGCTTTTGACCTTTCTCAGCGTCACACCTGTGACACTGTAGTCCGGCCCCTCGACTCAGTAACAAACCGGGGGATGCACGCGGTCGACACGGATCACATCGATATCGTGACACGAGAACAGCTTCAGCTGAGCTGCTCCCAGCGAGCAGTGAGAGAGAAACTCTGCCGTGTACCAAGCAGACAAACTTAAGCAAATAAAGCTGGAATTTGTTAAACTTAACAACTTAAGTATTTTTTCTATTGGATAAATCCTAACTCTAAATACAGAACATAGATTTGTGTACATTTACTATAAACATCAATCTAATGATTTCTTCCTGGACTACTTTTTTAAGACATTTTATCAGTCAGAAGCATCGTCCTTGAAATGCTTTGTTATTAAAAGGAAAATGCCGCCCATCACACTTCAAAGAAATTCGTTCCTGTATGTACCTATATACAACCTCAATGGACTGAGTCAGGCACTGGTCAGGAGACTCCTACGAAGTTAAAACCAAATATCAGAATGAGGAGGAAAGGTGATTTAGGTGACTTTGAAAGTGGCATGGCCGTTGGTGCCAGACAGGCTGGTTTGACAAACTGCTGATCTACTGAGATTTTCATATGCAGCCATCTCCAGGGTTTATAGAGAATGGGGGGAAAAAGAGGGGATATCCGGTGAGTGGCAGTTCTCTGGGCGAAAATGCTTTGTTGACTGGAGAGGCCAGAGACAAACAGCCAGAGTGGTTTGAGCTTACAGAAACGTGGCAGCAACTCAAATAACCATCAATATGCAGATGAGCATCGCCGAACACAGCACAAAGAATATGGAAGCAGATGGCCCACAGCAGAAGACGACCACACCGGGTGCCACTCCTGTCATCTCGGAACAGGAAATTGAGTGGCACGGGTTCACTAAAAATTGGGACAAAACGTTGCCTGGTCGCGATGAATCTCGATTTGTGGTGCAGCACTCAGACGGACGGGTCAGGATTTGGCATAAACAAAACGAAAGCACGGATCCATCCTGCTTTTATATCGACGATTCAGGTTGGTGGTGTAATTGTATTGCAGATGTGTTTTTTTTATGGTAAACTTTGAACCTCATGCTGTTTGTGACCATGCCCATCCCTTTATAATGACAGTGTACCCATCTTCAAATGGCTATTTTCAGCAGGAGAATGGGCTCAGTGGTATCCTCAGTATACTCCACAGTCTCCACATCTCAATCCAATCGAGCACCCTTGAGATGTGGGGGAACGGGCAAAAGGAGAAAAAAGAAAAAAAGAAAAACGGCTTCATGAGCTGCACGATTCCTTCATGCCAGTGAGGACCAAAATCTCAGAGGAATGTTTCCAGAACCTCGCTGAATCGATGCCACAAAGAATTTATGCAGCTCTAAAAGCAAAGCGGGGTCTAAAACTTAAGAATAATCATGTCTGATATACCGGAACTCACAAGTCGGTAAGTAAATGAGTAAAGTTCATTTTTATAGCGCTTTTTGAGACAAGGAATGGTCACAAATTGCTTTACAGAGGTAATTTAATCAAATCCAGCCCACGCCAAAGGCAAAGTGGACACACATGAATGAAGAAAAACAACACAGTGTCTGTCTGAACACATGAGTTTTAAGCTGCCTTTTTAAAGAACAACAAACGAGTGATATAATTATTCATCTAATCATTTACTGGAAGATTCCTGGTGCAGAAAATTCTTTGCATCGCACCTATACTTGTCTTTCCCGCCGTCGTGAGGCGAAAAGGAGGCAGAACCAGACGCTTTAAGAGGAATGCTTTGAACTCGTCCGTTAAAGGCTGCAGCCGCGTTCTGCCTTTTGTGATTTCAGGAGTGTAATTACAAACAGAAATCCTGCCATCTCCCTGGCTCTCGCTCACCGATAACGGGCACTAAAATGCATGTTATCGCTCATCTCAACACTGTGAGCCTTGCCCCGAAGCGCCGCTGCCACACCATTTCGCCGCGCGCACACATCCCCGCAGCTCGCCTGGCAGGTGAAGAGTCACCACCTCGGGCAAAACAGAAACCGCGATCCTCATCTTCAGTGGCTGCCACTTGAGCAATACAGCCACCAGATTACTGACCACAGTGTCCAAGTTTAACTTCATTCACGTTTTCAGATAGCAGCTGTGTCCGCTCATCTAAACTCTGCAGCTGTATGAACCTCTTCCAATCTCGCCCACAAGCACTCAAATTAAGATTTTGATACAAGATAGCGCTCCTCAACAGCCTCGCCTCCGTGTCCTAAGTTTCACGTCGCAGCGCAAACACCTTACACCTTGGCGAGCCGTGCTTGTGATTTGCACAGATTGTTCCTGTGATTATTATAACCTGCCAGGGTTTTAGGATGCATGCTTTTAGAGGTGCGGCTTTGCAAAATCTCAGCTCTTCCAAGTTCCCAGAATAAATAAAGAGAAATGAACTGCTGCATCTCTTTTCCTGCATTACTTCACCCTCTCATTAATTTGGTTTCTGTTATTAGCCGTTATGATTTTATGCTCCAATTAGTGAACAAAACATGCATTTTCTCCTTGTTGTGGGGGAAAAGAAACAACACTCTGTTACTTCACTGGTGGCAATAATGTGAACATTAGCTGCAATCCTCTGATGAGAGATCCTGAATTCATTACATTTGCTCAATTCAGAGATGCAAAAAAAAAAAGAAAAAAAAGGAGAGAGCAGAGATGTGGAAATTAGCTAGTTTAGATCAAGCTTTTAACTG